GAGGTGCTGAATGTTACCCACAGAGAACATGCGCAATATCCTCCCTATGCTATCCTATTGGAAATAATAAAGATTGATGAACTCAGCCATGGAGGCAGGACAAGCCGCAGCGAAAAGGGCGAGTAAAAAAACAAAAACCCTGTCGTGATCGGAGGGAGGGGGCAGGTACCTAAACAGACACTCTCTGACACAGACATGCAAAAAACACATTTTCATACACTGACATTTTTAATTTGAATCCACCCAGCCTCCCTACCTTTGGGAGAGCTAAGTGGACTTTCCCTGGGGTCCAGTGGGGATGCTCTTCCTGTGTGAGAGGGAAGGGAGCAGTAATCTACTTGCGGCTCCTCTCTGCTCCCTCTGCTGGGGACGGAATGATGTCATGTTCCAGGTGCATCACTAGACAGCGCGACGGAGCAGAGAGGCGCCACAATATGATCACTGCTCCCACTTTCTCCAGGGCGGCTGCCTCCATGTTCCTGAGCCGGCCGCTTTAGCTAAAGGGCTGCAAATCCCAGGCGACCGGGCAAAATTTCTAGTCGTAATGGCGACCTGGGATTTGTCGATCCCTGTCTTACATAACAGTGTTCCTGAAGACCGAGACATAAATTTAGATCTCACAACACAAAAGGAGATGCAGTAGTTGCCTTCTTATACTATACATATTTTATAGGGTTCCTTAACTTTAGGACTTGAGAGAAAAATAAATATAAAATAAAAAGCCAGCCAACGCTAGTGGTAAACTATTGAGACTTAGGAATTAAGTTAAAGGGTTACTCCAAACACCATGACCACTTCAGTAATTTTAAGAGGTCATGGTGGCAGGAATCTTAAATTAAACCCCATTGCTGCCGGCAGTGTCAGCCTGGAACTAGAGCTCTAGGCTGACTAACCTCAATTCTGTTCAAATTTCATTGAAATGTACATTTGCCAGTTATGTCCAAGACTAACCACTACTAGTGTAACAAGTACATATCTCATTAGTAAAGATAAGGAAAAAAAGCCATTTTTGTTTTCACTGCCTAAAATAGGATGTTTTGATGCTAAACAGCAGTTTGAAATCACTGAAATTACTCTAAACGCATTTATTCTACTATGTCCTCCATACAACATCCAGCACACTACCAGTTACTGTATCGCACAGCCTTCTCCTATGAATCTATACAGAATTACAAAATAACTTGCCAGAAAACATCAAACCTGCCACACCAGAAAATACCTGAATCCAGCTACCGTCAATCAAAAAGCACACTCACCGAAAATACAGTACAAGTAAAAATGTATTCTCCAACATAGAAATCGCAATGTATCCTTCTCACCCCAAATTTTTTTTCAAATAGGTAATTCATTGATGCCGAGTTTTCTTCAGATAGTGGAAATTATCTTCAACATTGAGATAGTAAGTTTTTTTCCCCCACATGCCTGTGCATAGGATGCATGCACAATAACATATGCACACTTGTGTATTGCTCTTCATTATCAGTGCATGAACTCTACATTGCAACTGCATGCATAGCCCAGGCTATGGCACAGCAGGAACTTACAACAACCAATGATTGCACAGCACTTTGAATAGAACAAAGACTTCAGATCTAAATATTTTGATCTTTACTATCAATCTGGCAATCTCAAGCTTTTTAGACACAAATTCTGTTTACCTTAAAGTGGTGCGGTCACCTGGGATACTTTGCAAAGACCCCCAACAGTAACATCACTACTGTGGGTTCAGTGGCTGGAGAGAGGGGGGGGTGGAGGCACGGAAAGGAGAGTTCTACTTACCTGAATCTGTCACTTTATGTCACTTCTGCAGACCACAGCATTGGGGTCTATGAAGAATCCTGCAAGATCCTCCATAGACAGCTGTCGGTAGAGACTGTAGCTCCGACCAGTGTCAAGGGTAGGAAAAACAATAGTCCCTATTTTGTCTTATGCTTTCTGTTATAAATAGACTGAATATGACAAAAGTAGGAAAGAGAAAAAGGAAACTATTGGGAAAAGGCAAGTTCGGCATGCGCTTTAACAGCTGTCCTCAAAGCTTTAAATTGCTGTACAAACAACCAAAACATACAGAGGCCAGAGGATTTATTTATTCAAGGGAGAATTCAAAATTAATTTCAAATTTAGGGTCAAAATAGTTGAACTAGAAAAATTCTACAAGTTTAGCTTCCAGTTCAGCAACTGTGCCCTAAACATTTTAATTCTTACTTTAGAAAATAATCCAGTAAGTTTAGAATAAAGTCTCTCTCTCTTTGGTCTATAAAAAAAATAATTACAACTTCCAACCTTAAGGAAAAAAAAAACGCTTTTACTGTGTAGCAATGGGAAGCAGTCAAACATTTCATAGAAAGGAAATCTATTTAATGGGTAATCTCACACACTAAACTCTTTGAGATGACAATAAAAAGAGCATTTCCACTACCAAGACAGAGAGTGGAAAAACATGGTTATTAAAGGGACACTAGGAACCACAACCACTTCATCTTACAGAAATGGTTATTGTGCCTGGCGCTGTCCCATTGTAGAAAAACTTCCCCTTTCTTCTGCTCCGGGTAATGCATCACGAAGAGCCACATGTTCCCAGGGATCTTTACTCACTGTCAAAATATTCAAGAAATACTCACGGTACCCAGTCACCAAAACTACTTCAATGAAATTAACTGCAGTACCTAGAGTGTGTCTCCCCCCCCCCCCCCCAACACACACACACACACACACACACACTCCCCCCCAAAATGTTGTAATTTTTTTTTTTTTAAGCCACACAAAAGAGCATGTTTTCACAATGTGCATCTTCTCTCAAATTTGTCAATTCAGTGAGGTAAGCAGAGTAACCATTACAGTGCGCTGTAATGGTTATGGTGTATAGAGCCCGAGAGCTCTTTCACTTTCACATTAGATGAATTGAAGGCAGAGGCCAAAACTAAAAGATAGCAAACACATACTTTTTGCACCATAACCACTACATCAAGATATTGTTGTCTAGAGTGCACATAATGTGTGTAAAGTTCTGTATACAAAAGATCAGGAATAAGTTGATTAAAAATGCTACAAATAAGATTCAACGTTATACAAGTGGACAGAAGAAATGCTGAAATTGCACTACCTTCATCTCAGACAATCATCTCCCGTTCTGTAGTATATAGCTTAAAATCAACTTCTCGAGGCACTATTTAATTCAAATAAACCAACAACGAACTGATGTTAAGTAACACATTAATGAATACAAAATGCCATATTCATATTTTAGAAAGATTGCTTTCTACGATGCCGGACAAAACATGTTTCGGAGAGTACTTGTCACCCGACTGCATTTTTGTGAACAGCATTAAACCCAAAAGCAGGTTAGGGGTTTAAAACAAAACGATAAGCAGGTTTTTAAATAAAGTTTTAAATATTCAGGAATTTAAAGAAAATATATAAGACCAAAACAGTCGCATCACGTAAATTTGTTCCGTGACAAAACGCACTTAAATCATAGAGAGACTGGTTAGCCAAATCACAGAAGTTATATCTTTATGCTATTAAACAAGAGAGTGAAAGGAAAACTTGAAACATGCTTCCAGTGTTTAGGAGAGGAAGGGGTGAGTACTAGCATCAATTGCAGCTTTTAAAAACTTGAAATTGGCGCCTGGAGCAGCGACTGCTATTAGAAGAAGAGGAGGTTTGGTTACATTCATATTCATAAGCCCGTCCCTCTAGCTATAGGCTGAGGCGGGGACTTTATGCAGATAACAGAACACAGGCAGCCAGAGTCAATTGACAGGTCACCATTGTAATGAGGAACAGCCATGTATTTGCTTAGGCAGTAAAGAACAGTGCCTATTTTATTTCTACTTCCCAGCATCCAGGGAGACTATTCTCATGACTCTTCAATGCCAGCAGCAATCATGTGCCTGCAGACCTTGCAAGTCGCAGAGTGGCTTCCTTTCAACAGGGAATAACTGCACACAGCTCTGAAGATATATTCAGACCTGCACCTGAGAGACTTTAAAGGAGAGCTTGAAGCTAGAGGGGCTCACAATTGTTAATTTTTTTTCCCCGTCCTGTTCAGATATATTACTAGGGTTTAGCAATTGCATGCATTATTTACAAAATGCACCACTGACGTAAGATGCACATTAGTGACATTTCACTGACACGTTTCATATACCCATTGTACAGCGCTACAGGACTTGCTGGCGCTATATAAATAATAATAATAATGCAAATATAAGCTGATTACTATTTGGGATGTGTAACACCTAATGTTAAAATGTGAGATATTAAAGATGCACTTACAATATATAGCTACAGAAAGACATCCTGCTGAGCAGCAATGGTTTGAGTGTAAAGATTGAATAGAATTAAGGTTTCCCATAATAAGAATAAAGTTATAAAGACACCAGTGCTCTAATCTTAGTTCATATACCATGCACAAGTTTTGCTTTTGCATTTTTTTTTAAGACTACAACTCTCACAATGCTCTGCCAGCCTCAATAAGGAGGAGTCTAGCACTGGGCCAGCCCATGGCTCTGCTCAGAGCTGACAGGCTGCTTGCCATAGGCTTGCGTGGCTGACTGATGGCTTACAGCCCCATGGACCGCCCATTCTCCTGCCTGTCTGGGATCCTCCTGCTGGGGGAACCCGCCATTTTTCTTTGTGGCTATAAAAAGCCATATTAAAAACCCATCTCCCTGTTTAATTCGCCCAGTGGGATGCTTGGCTAGCTGTCCTACCATTACTATTAGCCACTAGCCATGTGGCGAGTTATAGACTAAAGCAGGGGACCTGCACAGACCCCCTCCCCCCTTCTTACTGATACATTGTTTCCAAAACTACCATCTGTTACACTGGTGGCCAAAAAAAGGGGGGTAAATCCAGACAGGACTACAACTCCCGTGATGCTTCGCCATACGCAGGGCTGCTAGAGCATCATGGGAGTTGTAGTTCCGCAGCCGCTTTTCCCTTTATTTTGTTGTCCACCCTCCTGTGAGAGGGTTAATAAGCGTGCATTATATATTATTGTATTTATTATTTACCTGTGTTATAGACGTGCAGCTCGTCCACGATGCCCTCGTTCCCTCCTCCGAAGACCACGATGAGCTCCTTGATGGCCACTGCCCGGTGTCCGTGCCGGGGCCTGGGGACCGGGCCCGACCAGCCCACCACACGCTTCCACCTGGGCTGCAAGGCGGCGGAGCCTGAAACCGCCGGGGACAAGGCCATGGCGGCTGGCAGCGATCCAAATAATAAAATTAAAAATAATATAATAATATAATGTATTAAATGGAAGGCAATGGGAACCGGGAGAGGAAAATAAAGAAAGAAAAACCGGATTAAAAACAAGCGGAGTGCGGGTGCCGGGGTGATAAAATGTGCGGGGGTGGCTGAGGGTTGCTGAGGCCCGAGGCCGGGGGCTGGCTGGCTGTGTGTGAGGCCTGGTCCGCGCCGGTTCTCACTGAGGTGCTGGGAAGTCCATGGGAGCCGCCATTTTATGACGGCGGCCGGGGAGAGAAAACAAACTCGCTGTCTCCGGGCTCCGCTGCAGCCGGGGGGCCACCCGAGGGGCTGGCAGGCTCCTCCACCACGTCCCCTCCGCAGGCCGTCCTGGGCTGCCCGCTCCCCGGATCGAGTCCTGCTTTAAATCCGCCCGAGAGCGCCGGAGCTGAGGGAGTCCATGGGAGCCGCCATCTTGTGCCGTCCAAACAAACCAATAAAGAGCTGGGAGGAAGAGCAAAGATGGCGGCGAGCGGGGCGACTGCACTCAATAAACACCGCCTCCTCCTCCAGCGGCCGGACAGCGAGGGGGGGATACAGCGCTGCGGGGACACACAGAGCCCCCCCTCCTACTAACAACCGGATACTCCACCACAACCACTGCACTCGGTAGCCACGGCTGCCGGCTTTGTCGCCCGTTAGGTTCGGTTGTAAAACACACACCACCACAAAAAAATAAAAAGAGACAGAAAAAAACCGCGGAAATAAAGGAAAAACCAAAAAAAAATAATAGGGAAAGCGGTTGTTTAGCGATGTGATTATTGTGTAAATAGAAGGCAGGAGACCGGAGAATCTTTTCACGCCTCCCTGGGAGCCGCCATCTTGTGAGCGCCCGCCTCCTGTCTTCCTCCTCCTCCGGAGACAATAAGATGGAGGCGGGGACTGTGCAGTGCGGGCATGGAGAGCGAGGGGGGGAGGGGGAGGGGACACACAGGGCAGAGAATGGCTCTCTGCATCCTGCTATGGCTGTAACCTAGCCTCAGACCTGGGCTTTCAGGGAGATGAGAGAATGCAAATAGTAGTAAAAAAAAAATAAGGATTTGTTAAAACAAACAAATAAATTATTAATTTTTGGAACACTTAGATATTTTGTTTTGGTAAAACTAAGTATTTTGGCCAACCCATTGTACAGCGCTACAGAATCTGATGGTGCTATATAAATAATATAATAATAGTTTAGTTATCCACAATTCCCTGGGCAGCAAATAGCCCTATAGGTAGAAAACTTGCAAATGAGATGGGGGTAATTAAATAATGTGTTGAAAAGTCAAAAGATATTTAAGCCAAAATAGTTGAATGGGAAAAATAATCTATAAATCCGCTATGTTTCAAGCTGTTTTTAAACTTAGTAAAATTCACTTACAGTACAGTTTACACTTGGGGGGACGGGGAAGGGAGATATTCACGAAACTATGAATTGAAGCAAATCTGCTTTGGGTTTATTTTTTTTTGGCCTAAATGTTGTGATTTGGATTTCATTTTTATTTTTTTATAGTGTGATATTTAACAATTATGGATTTCCTAAAATAATATGGACCCACCAAGCTGTTTGGGTGCCAAAAAGAATGACAATTGGGCAGCCACTGCTAAAGCCCCATTAAAGATACGACAAGATCTGTAAATCCCAGGGGTCCTTAGCACCAATACTGACACTGGGTAAGGGCATATTTGAGGGTGGGACATGCTCTTGTCCACCCACCTATGCATAGGTATCGGGCGGAAGGCATTCATTTACTGGACTTGGTGGGAAGGACAACCAGTTGTCGGGAGTGGACTCCAGCTAATAATAGCCTCTTCTACGAGCATCCCCACCGGGGAAGCCGAGTTCGCCTGCAACTACTGTGCCAAAAAGGTCCTGATTCCCCTTTGCCCCTATATCTCTGTGGTCATAAGGGGTCTCTGCCTTATCCTTGGGGTTAATCCTCAAATCTCAATGGACAGAACACATTTGAACAATTTTCACTTTAGCTTAGTCTTTAAAGGTCTTGCTCCAGTGATATTTTGCTCTCCAAATGGTTGGAATTTCCATTGAAGTACCAGCTATTCAGATGAGCAGCAAATGGGGACATTGCGGGCTGGACAACTGACATATCCACCACCCAGATAGCTCAGTACTAGCAGTGTACCCACTTACCAAGTTGTTATTCTCTTTCATCCTCCAATTGATGGTTGAGGGGAGACCAGAGACATATATATTCCTTATTTCCATTATTTTAATACTCCATCCCACTTCTCAGTGGTGGAGTATTAAAAGTTTAGCACCCACTGCTCAGGAGCGGAGTATTAAATGTTGAGCAACCATTGGTTGCTCACGATTGAGGGTGCAAAATTTAATCCAGATTTGCCTTTAGTAAATTGCTAATCTGGTAGAAAATCTGTCATCGGTTTTCTAAATGTATACTTTAGTGAATAAACCCATCATATTGTCCTTGATATGAACTGGTTCCATATCTTGTAGGGCAGTGCATGAAAAGTTCTTGCAAATACTGCATGTGGAAAAACAGTTGAATAAAGTTAATCAATCCCTCTCTCCCCCCTCCCCCCTGCAACATATGAATGCTGCATACTAAGTGCAGCTTTCTTTAATGTTCAGCCCATATGCATGTGGCAATACTGTGTGGAGTTTTATCTAATTGCAAACTTGTAAAACCAAACATGACAGCAATTGTACATGCCTGCTTGTTTCCATGGCAATTGCCTCACTTTTAGAACTTTGCACCACTTTTCACATCATTAAACTTTTAATTCCCCCCCACCCCCCCACCCCTACACGTCCAGAATAACCTGCATAATATTTCCACTTTATGCAGTTTAAATGTCTGAAGTGGAAAAGTAAAAAAAAAAGCAGATTTATTATTATAATAATACATGACACAGAGTAATAATAAACTGTAGAATAAACAGTAGCCAAAGCAGGCTACCTAAAGCCATACACAAACAAAGGGATAACTGGCTGCATGTGTTTAACTTGCTGTAGTGTGCTGTGTTTTTATAACATGAACCATTTTGTCTCAGGCAGTCAGTGGGGGGGGGGATCTTTCATGCCTCCACGGGAGCCGCCATATTTGGACATGGCCGCACCCTCCACCCTTGGAACACAAACAGACATGGTGGGCGGAGGGAGCTCTGGTTCTGGTCCCGGCCCAGTGTTTATTATTATGATTACTGTTTATTATGAATGGGTCAGTGTGGTCCCCCTGCACTGTGTTATCCCCTGACACGGTATACAGCAATAAACCAGGCTATGGCTATAAAGCTGCAGTGGGGGTTTATTGATGTCACGTTCTGTGATGGGAAACGCCATCTTGTTTGCGCTCCTCCTCCGTAGTTAAGGGAGGAAGAGGCAGACACAGTAATGGCGGCGGCGTCTTCTTCTTCTTCCTGCAATGCCCGGATGTTGATGAAAACAAACAACGAATTGTGTATTTTGTTATTATTATTTTATTACACGTCACGTTTATACTAGTGGTTTTTACAGCCAGCTTTTTATCCACGCGGAATGTTAATGATTTCACGATCGCCACATAACGGAGCCGAGCGCCCGCTGACTGACTGACTGACTCTAACTGGATGACAAGACGCCTCGGCGGCCATCTTGTCCTCAGGTCCTAGCAACGGTTGCCAGGGCCCGCTGGCACGCGGCAAAGGGAGCCGCCATTTTGGAAGGGGCTGCCGCCACACCTCCATCGCCCGTTGCGAGGCGGGAGACATGGCGGCCATGTTGGCAAGGGCTGGAAATTCGATTTCTTATCATTTTATTATTATTATTTTTTTTAATTAATTTTTTTTCTAAAATGCAGTCGTTCACAAGGCGTGATATGTAGATATTTTGCTTTTATCGTTATGGCTGCTGCCTATTGGCTCGTGCGGAAGAGCATCATGGGAATCGTAGTTCCTGGCAGCTGCAGTGCCAGAGAGCGGCCATTACTGGCAAAATGCAAGTCTGTCTGTGCCAGGACCTGACACTAATAAACAACACACCGATACGCATTGCCCAGGAAGGAAATGCTTGGACATTAAATATGACAAGTTTAAAAAAATAAAGAAAATAAAAAAAATTTAATTAACCCTTTCAGGTTTTGAAACAATTTAGTAGTTAAATTATCCATAGATTAATAGGGGGCAAGGGGAGCCTTATTTAAAAAATAAATAAATAAATAAACCAGACCAATATGAGTGTCAGGGTTATTCAGCAAAGGGTGAGTTGAAAATAATACACAAAACGGGTCATATTTTCCCATTTCTGTTATGTTTTTGGGTGTACTATTTTGGATTCAATGTTTAAATCCATGTTGGTGAATTGCTTTTTTTTTTACTTTTTTCCAACACCGCACAAGAGCACTTTTCCTTTTGAAGCCCGTTAACAAAAAAAATGGTTCATTCACTAAACAGAGGATTATAGTAAAAAAAAAGTTTTTAAAAAATAGGTTAAAATACCCAATCGGCTATTAGTTACAAATAAGCTTTTTTTTTTTGACTGAATTTTGCTATTTAATTTTCAATTCTCTACATTTTGATGTTTAGTGAATAAACCTCAACAAAGTGACTAGTATCCCGGGAAACATGGTGGAACTGGCACCAAGTAATTATTATTAATATTATTATTTTATTATTTATATAGCGCCACCAGATTCCGTAGCGCTGTACAATTGCACCGATGTCAATCATCTGTTGGCTTGGCCTGCTGTCGCTTGGTTTTACTTTATGCAGCTCGGCTTTCTTCTAACCTAGTCGAGCCAAGCTGTCTTGCTGTCCTCAGAACAACACACACCTCCCGAAATTCAAAAGGACAAAGAGGCACACTTCAATTTTATAGCTGGGACTAAGGGGTGGGGGGCTGTTCTGAGACATTTCAGGTGACTTACGGATAACAATTTATGCAAATAAAATGTAATTTTGAACAAGAACAATGTATCTTATTTACACAGGCTGGTTTCTAAACACATTTATTGTAGTTTAAATACACATTAATGGGAGTGTTATTGCTGTGGAGCTCTGTTATACACTCCGACACACTGACAATATGAATCTCCTAGAAAGAGGGACATTAGGTTTTAAAAAAATTAAAAAAAAGAAAGGGACAGAGGAATTTGGGCCCAAAATAAGGACTGTCCCTCCTAAATAGAGGCACTTGGGAGGTATGCAACAAGTAAAACCCAATTGTGATGGCCTTTTGCACATGTAAAAAAAATATTAGGTTGCAACAGTGGGAGAATGGGTATAAATGAATGCATTTATTTGTAATATGTTTTACCAGAAAAAAATCGAGATGACACTTGTTTGCCCTGAGTATTTGAAGAAGGAAAAGAGAGGATCGTGCTGATGATTTTTTTGTTTGTATCTCTGCATCCCCCTAGCACCCTTTTGTTGGAGAAATAACACACACATTTATTTAAATTTGTTTTTTATTTTGTTACTCTTTATTCTATACATTGAAGTAAACCCTGCTTCTATTTTTCCTCTGACTGAGGGAGAGTAGTAGAACATCATCCCTGGGGTTCAGAATGAACTGCCCTCCTGCCCACTGGTGAGTTTGCTGCTTTGTTTAAGGGTAGATTCTATATATCCAGATATTTTAATCCTTGGTATTGTTCTTTCAAACCCTGTAATTCCTACTTGTCCCTTTCTCCCTTCTTTTTTTTCTCTTCATTTTCTTTGTTGCTTTTCCTTCCATTTCCGTTTTTTTGTTGTTGTTGTTATGGGTAGACTTTTACACTGTCCGATAAATTAGTTATCTCAGTTTTTTTAAAAAGATTGTCTATCACTCTCTGTTCTCCCCCCCCCCCCCTTTTTCTTTATCCTTACTATATTCATTTCAGAAATATGCATTTTTATATAGAGATTACAAAATAATTTGGTAGGCACAGTGATTTATTTCATCAAATGTGCTAACAAACTTGCCAGCAAATGTACAAAATTATAATAAAATACTTACCCGATGATTGCAGTTGCCTCCTCTAAGATGGCGACCATACTTTTTTTTCTTATCCACCATGTTTTCCTAAACACAAATTATGTTTATGTGCTAATGGGCAACAAATGAGAAATGCAGCCATGGCACATGTATAATTTAATACTGAATATAAGAAAACATATTTAACTAAGTAGGAGGGTCAATCTTTATTGGAGATAAAAAAAAAAATAGTAACATAAAACAGCTTTAAAAAACACTAACGCGTTTTTCCTGCAAAGGAACACTTTGATAAAGCCTCTTTGCAGGAGAAACGCGTTAGTGTTTTTTAAAGCTCTTTTATGTTACTATTTTTTTATCTCCAATAAAGATAACTCATTTATGCTATTGGAGCCTCAAAGCCTGTCCTATTTATTCTATTTTATTTTATAATATAATTCCTTTTACTCTCTCCAACACCCCCACTGGAGGACTCAAGGAGTGATATCCTTGGTGGGGATCATACCACCTACGCCTACATATATTTAGCAATATCCTATTTGCTCTTCACTTGAGATATACCCTACCACCACTGGAGACCCCCTTTTTGAGGACATCCAAGGACAATCTACATATCCATAGGCAGGGATTGTACCGTCCTGGCGCACATATCTGGAGCTGAGTATAGGCTCCAGAAAATTGTAAGTGCAATTCCTTTCCCTTCATTTACCATCACTTAAGATCTCAATATACTACACTATATCCGTGTCTTTTTCCTTCCCTCCTCCATATCGCTCTGAGCGTGGAAATTCCTTCACAGGCGCTGCTCCCTGATCCTACTAACTACATCCATTGTACCACCAGAAAAGAAGAGACTCTGGTTTTTGGGAAGTTTCAGCAGCCACATACTACAATTGCAAGTACTGATATTCCACCTACCCCTCTGTATATTATACAGCACTGCCAAATATTGTAGCCAATGTAAAAGTAACCCAAAGTGGACTGAAGGAGGCCAAGATAAATCTAAAAGTTCTTTTTTGTTTACGTTGAACTGTACGAAGAACTGTCACGTTCAGGATGAGACTGCTGATAGCCAGTATCCTGAGAGATTTACAAAGATGATATGTAAATATCTTCATTGCAGAAATGTTATTGAAAACGAAATAATAGTGCGTAGAAAGAACAGCAGTATAAAAATATTTTTTTTTTTTGTGGCACATGACAAGAACGAGAAATGAACAAATTCAAGGTTGGGGTGCCAGGTTTGCAGTCTCCATTTTTAGTCACACTGTTTTTAAGAGGTTTGACAAACACAATTCATTACCTGGAATATAAAATGATACTGAAATTGACTTCCTCGTCATCACTCTAAAACATTTGCGCATTACAGGCACCCATTGCCCAGTAGAATAACCACTAAAATAAGTTGTAGTTGTTACAGCGCGTGGGTTGTCCCTTCAAAGGGACATGCATCTCTTGCCATATTTTTAAACCAGCAAGCAAATACTTTTAAACAAATATACAAACCAAAATAAAGCAAGAAAAACTTTGAAAAGTATGTAGTAGACATTAATAAACTTACTCAGATAGCATTGTTTGGCACACCTCTCAGCTAGGGGACTTTCTTTAGCTCCCTCCCCCCTTCCTTGTACCCACCCAGAAACAGGGTATCATTGTGCAGCAGCAGGAGAGAGAAACACAACAATGGCACCTACTCTACATGAATAACACTAATGAGACTCTCTCTCTTCTCCCCCTGTAAGCAGGGCCGGACTGGCCTACCTGGATATCAGGATATTTCCCGGTGGGCCGGCACACTATTGGACTGGTGCGGGGCTACCTAGTGCGCACCGGGCCATGGGCCGCACGGCGCAATTACAGAGTCACAGAATGTAGTGTGGCTGAGCAGGCAGACCATGGGTAGAGGAGCTTCTGTTCCTCTACCCGGTCTGACAGGAAGTGCTTACAGAGAGCACAGAACTGCTTCCTGTCAGACCGGGTACAGTGAACAGGAGTTCCTCCACCACAATCTGCCTGCTCGGCCACGCTACAGCAAAGTGCAGGGAGAGCTGGGGGGGGGGAGACTAATGGGACACATGAGGGCTGGGAGGGGACTAATGGGGGCTGGGGAGTAACCACAGGACACATGGGGGAACTAATGGGACATATGGGGCTGGGGGGGGACTAATGGGACACCTGATGGGGAACTAATGGGACACCTGGGGCTGGGAACTAATGGAACACCTGGGTGGAACTAATGGGACACATGGGGCTGGGGAACTAATGGGACACAAGGGGACATCCGGAGGGGATTATAGGGACACATGAAGGGTTGGGTGGGGTATAGGGACACATGAAGGGCTGGGAGTGGGGTATAGGGACACATGAAGGGCTGGGAGTGGGGTATAGGAATGTATGGAGGGCTGAGAGGGGCTATAGGGACCTATGGACTGAGGGAGATAAGGAACATGGAGGTCGGGGGGGGTAATGAGACACATGGAGGGCTGGGGAGATTGGATTGAGACACATAGAGGGCTGGGGGATGGATTGAAAAAAATCGATGGATGGGGGCTAATGAGACACATGTAAGGCTGGAGGGGGTGGAATGAGACAAATGGAGGGCTGGGAGGGGGGCCATAGGGATACATGGGGGGATAATGAGACATGGAGGGCCGGGGGTCTAATAAGACATATGGAGGGGCTAATGAGACACATGGAGGGGCTCAGGGAGATAATGAGACACATGGAGGTCTGGGGGGATGGATTGAGACACGTATGTTTGTGGGGATGGATTTAGAAGCATGGAGGGGTTGCAGGGGTGATTATACACATGTAAGGCTGGAGGGGGTTAAATGAGACACATGGAGGGGCAGGGGATTAAAAAGACACATGGAGAGGCTGGGGAGAAAAAAAGACACAGAGAGGTCTGGGGAGAAAGAGACAGAGGGGCTGAGAAATACGAACAAAAGACACACAGAGGGACTGGGGAAGAGGAGAATGAGACAAACACAGGAGCTGTGGAGAAAGAGATGCACAGAGGTGCTGGGGCCTGGGAAAGAGACTCACAGAAGGGCTGGGGAAGGGGAAAAACAGACAAAGAGGCTGGGGCTAAGAGACACATGAAACGGGCTTGGAGGAGAAAGACACAAACAAAATGCATCTTCACTTGTGTCTCCTGCTCTCCCTGTAATTTAGAGTCGACCGGTGAGAGAAAGACTTTGTCTTAAAGGGACACTATAATCACCAGAACTACTACAGTTTAATGTAGGGGTTTTGGTGTCTATAGCTTGTCCCTGTATGCTGAGCACTGTAATTGCCACCTTTTCACAGTCACTCAGATGGCCACTAGTGCTGCTTCCTAGTCCAGTGCTGCACAGTGTGCAGCAACTATGTTGAGCATCTCCACGCTCTGCATGGAGGCGCTGAACGCTCCCCATAGAGATGCATTGATGCAATGCATCTCTATGAGGAGATGCTGATTGGTGCGATGAAGCGCAGTGTTTTGCCACACATGCGCAATAGTCTCCCAATGCTTTCCTATGGGAATTAAATTGGCGTTGAGATCATCCAGTTGTCAGCCAAAGTGAAGAGCACACTCTTGTTACTGCAAAATATCAATTTATTTTGAAGTAACAAGACATGTATGCAATAACATACATTCAAAATTTCAGTCCAATTACAAAACTTTCCTTTATATGTCAAGGTAGTTAGACTGAAACATTGATTATATGCAAATGCACGTCTGTTTACAACAAATTGACTCTTTTGTTTATTTTGAAGCGCTATGAGTGCTTTCTATCACGTTTGAGTGATAGTTTTCAGTTTTAATATTTTTTTTTCCTGCTTCCATATCTGCACACTATGCCGGCGCAATGCATTATTGGGCTGGTATAGAATTTTTTCCAGGGCTGCTTTTCATTCCCAGTCCGGCCCTGCCAGTAAGGTTGTTGTGTGGCTGAAGAGATCTTCCAACTGCACATGTATAAACCGGTCAGGCATGCCCAATGCACTTTTCCAGCATTCCTAGGGATAGGACACCGATAGGGTAGATCAGTGTCCCCCTTGGAGTGGATGTGGAAAGCATAAAAAAGAACAAACAGCTTGCAGCGAAACTAAAGTTTTTGGATGAGACAGTTGTCTCAAAGTGATGCATATCCATTGAAAATGATTCTCATCCGGACACCATGAAAATGATTAGGCCCCCATGAACAGGTATATGAATTATTATACATTGTGCAGGCAAGAAATAATTTGGGATCATAGACTCGTTGCTTTGGTTTCCTTCTATGTTTGGATGCACCAAGAGCCAGGGTCTGATCCTCCCCATTCAAATAACTGTGGATGGCATAATACCACTCAACGCCTGTTACTTGGTTTCAGAGGCAGTGCGGGTTTTATACCGTTTGTGTTGCTGTGTTGCTGTGTTGCTCTATGAATACTGTTTCCAATTTGTAGTTGATTTTCAGGAAGGAAGATTTTTGATTTGTATTTTAGGTGATGTAACATTTCAGGTGCAGTATTTTCATGTGCATACATTGCTTTAAATATGTTCACCTTTTAATTACCCCTTTGTCTGAATTATGTGCAGTAGGGCATTTAATCATAGCGTACGCTTTATGCATGTTGAACGTTGCTGCTATAAATATATTTACGGAACCACTCCACACACATAAAGCACTTCAGTTTGCTGCAGTGCTTTACATGTGTGGACGGTCATATTTGTTACCGTTGAAAATAAAAGCACTTTCATAATTGGGGGCTGTAACGCCTCTATGGCTGTCAATCAAACAGTAAGGGATGTTTTCATCTGCATCTGTTAGCTCCATCAGACGCGCTGGGCCAGTGCGCGACTCCCTACCACCTTCTCAATGAGCTGTATTACAGATCATTATTTGAAAAACATAGGAAAGCCACACTCACGTGCCCACAGGCAGTCACGACTCCAGCACAAAGGATTCTAAATGAGAAGCCTCTAAATTGAGTATTCTCTGTCCCAGATTAAAAGTCTGTGCAGGGTTTACAAAGGCTGTTGACAAGAGGTCTGCAGCTTTTGCAAGTTCTTTTTAGACATACAACCAAGAAATGCAGAATTTAATGTGTGTTTCCTTTGCGGTATAACAACTAAATAGCGATTATTTTTTTTTCCTTCAAGAGTTTCTTTAATCAATGTATTTGTCCAGCGTTGGTCATTTAGTTTTTTTATAAAAAAAAAAAACAACAAAAAAAACAAAAGGGAAACAAAGGCTGTTGGACACTGTAATGCCAAATTAAAAATACTAGAATATAGACGTGTATATCTCCCAACTTTTTTTTTCTCAAACCTGCCTTTCCAAATAACCTGAAATGAAAAGTAAAAAATACTGTGCACAGCTGATGGAAATCCATGGGATTTCCTTTAGAGACTTGATGATGTGACAGTTGTCACGGCAACTTAACATCACCCAAACATCCGTATCAGGGGAAGAAACTGTCCAAATCAACGCCTCCAGTTTTGGATAGGGGGATGGGAGGGAATAATGCGTAAAGCATAATGGCATATGATGGTAGAAGTATTCATTAAAAAAAAATGTCTGGTAGAGAAAAAAATGGTGTAAACATAACAACAATATGTATACTGATATATACATTCACTGTCATGTTAGGTATCAGTAGATATAATTGGTCTCTGAGGGTCATGCATAGATACTATATAATAATTGCACTATATGGACAAAACGCATTGAGACATACCTTTTAATTAATGAATTCAGGTGTTTTAATCAGGCCCATTGCCTCATGTGTTTCAAGCACCTAACCATGCAGTCTGCATTTAAAAAAAATTGTGAAAACAGTGAATTCAAGCGTGTACTGTGATAGGATGCCATCTTTGCAATAAGTCAATTTATGAAATTCCATCCCTGCTATATATTCCACGGTCAGCTGTAAGTGGTATTATTGGAAAGTGGAAGCATTTAGGAACAGTAGAAAATCAGCCACAGAGAGGAAGACTGTGTAAAGTCAGAGTGGACTCACCGAGTGCTGAGGCGCATGGTGCATAAAAGCTGCCAATGCTCTCCTTCCACTGGCAATAATATCAGCACAAAAACTATGCGCCTGGAACTTCATGGAATGGCCGAGCAGCTGCACGCCTGACATCACCAAGTACAATGCCAAGTGTCAGATCAAGTGGTGTAAAGCATGCTGTCACTGGACTCTGGAGGTGGAGAAATGTGTTCTGTGGAGTCATGCTTTTCTGTTTTGCCGTCTGATGGGCAAGTCTGGGTTTGGCGAATGATAGAACAATAACTGCATGACTACTTTGTACCAACTGTAAAGTATGGTGGAGGAGGGATAATGGTAACAGTTTAGGAAAGGCCCTTCTCTATTCTAGCTTGACTGTGCTCTATTGCACAAAGCAAGGTCCATGAAGACATGGTTGGATGAGTTTGGTGTGTTAAACATGACTGACCCACACAGAGCCCTGGCCTCAACCCAAGTTAACTCTTTTAGACTGAACTGGAATGGAGATTGCGAGCCAGGTCTTCTCGTCCATCATTGTGGCTGACCTCACAAATACTCTACTGAATGAATGGCCAAAAATTCCCACAGAAACACTCTGCAAAAGCCTCCCCAGAAGAGTGGAAGCTATTATAGCCGAAATGGGGTGGGGTGGAAAGCTACATATTAATGTGTATGTATTTAGAATGCGATGTAATAAAAGTCCCTGTTAATGTAATGGTCAGGTGTTCCAATACTTTTGTCCATGTAGTGTATATTCCAGTGATATTTGTAGATTAGTCCAACGGGGCTGTTGTGGTTTCAATTTGTCTTGATGCTCAGCCAGCCATTGTACCGTTTAGGATTTTTCTCTTTGGCTTTGTTTTATTTTTAAAGATAACCTATAGTGCCAAGACAACAGAAAGTTGTTTTCCTGGCACTATAGCTCTCTATAGTGCCCCCCTCCCTTGTTAAAAACCCCTTCTGTCACTTACCTTATTCCAGCGCCGATGTTCCTTGCTGCTGGTTAAGGCTCTGTCTCTGCATTTCTGCTTTGGGTGACGCTGGTTGTCGCCTAACCACCTGGACAGCCAGGCATTAAAAACTGCAATAATTACCTTTGCAGGGTTAAGGGACCTGGGACACTGCACCAAGTCAACTTTAATGATCTGAAGTGGTCTGGGTGCCTATAGTGTCCCTTTAAGTTCCATTTAGTTTTCGTTTTATACATAAACAGAGCTGAACTAACCATAAGGCTACATAGACAGCCACCTAAAGCCTGAGCTCAGACAGATGCCTGGTGGGCCCCTGTCTGCTCTGGCTCCAGCTCTGGCTGTGTGGGGCACATCCTTGGGCCAGCAGGGAATTCAAAAAGATCTTCCTCGAGTCAAGGGAGTTTTGTATTTCCTCCTCGAGTCAAGGGAGTTTTGTGGACAATGCCTCTAGTGCAGGGATAGGCAACCGTTGGCATTCCAGATGATGTGGACTACATCCCCCATAATGCTCTTACACCCAAATTGCTGTCAAAGCATCATGGGAGGTGTAGTCCAAAACATCTGCAGTGCCGAAGGTTGCCTATCCCTGCTCTAGTGGGTGCAGACCACTTTAAGAGCTCCCTAATGGTGCTTCTCAATGACTCTGAGAACCACAGCCAGTCCTCGGAGTCACTAGTTGAGCACCTGACGGCAAGGGAACTCGTGAAGAAGATTGTTTCCATATTCAGGCTTCTGGTGGGTCACTGACCCTGTGCTTTACCTTTCCTTCTCTGTAGTATAATCTAATCCAGTCTGAGTCGACATGATACCAAGGTCTTTATTTTTCCTCTGCCATGTAAAAATTGTGTTTTAATTTCAGTTTCATGATTGAATTTTAATATCAGTCCCAGCCTTTCTCCACCTGGTTCCAAGATTCTTGATGCATTGATCATTAGTATGTCACAGTGTCAGAATGACGCACAGCATCACAAGAGAGCATGGGAGTACCATCAGGTAACCTGATATTACTTGTGCACTATTAACACCATACCATCTGTAATGGTACTTTGCCCGTAACTGGCACAGTGAATGCACAAAACTATATTAACACATCCTGGTGAACATCATTTTATGTTGGTCTTGGTGATGAGTTTGTGTGGGTGACTCTGGATATTTACTTTAGCAGTGATGAGGCCACTGTGACTTGTTATTGTTTATTACATCATCATGGGTTTGGTATCCTGTTTGGTTTAGTGGCTCATTATTTTCAGAAATAAAAAAAATAAAAAATAAACTCTTTTTTTTTGTTTTTTTGTTCTTCCTATAAATAGGTCTGGCTTATATTTCTGCCAGTCTGTGTATGAGAGAGACAGGGCATACATTTCTGTAGCGGAGTGTGTTCTCTCACCATTGATTATTTGGCTATAAGACTATTCTTGCATGTGAGATAGCAGAATGAACCTTTAGGGACAGATCCTGAGGGTGATCCATTAAATGAGTTTTCATAGAGGCAGAACGTACATGTAGAATGAAGGGAGGAATCATGGGTAGGGCCATGGAGGGGCTATAGACAGTGTGCTTGATGAGGGCATCGAGTTTTAGTTTGGACCCATATATTACTGAAACCCAGCAATGTCTATTTGGAATACTGTATAACATACCATAGATTTTCAAATTCTGTTTTCAGTATTATTTGGCATTATTCACTAAAGTGTGAACTGTCAGAATTTCAAATTGTGGGTCAGAATAGCCAAAGTATAGACATAGCGAACTGTTCTAGCCTAATATAAGAAACTGAATATAAATTCCACATAATACATTAGTAAATAAATCTGTCTGTATACTATTTCATAAAAAAGACCTTCATCTGTAGATATTTTACTATAGTTGATTTTCTTTGAAATTACATCTATTCACTAAATAGTGAAATGTAAATGTACTGAATATACACATGTACTGAAATACATAATATATTTATCACCTGTTATGTGTTTAATTTATATATGTGTGTGTATGTGTCTATATATATATATATTGTTTGTATATTGTATTTTTGTAATATTGTAACAATGCAATGTTTTGTGGACCCAGACTAGCTTGAAAACAAGAGAAAGCTCAACGTATCCTTCCTGCTAAAATATTTGATAAATAAATAAATTGAAAACTTAATTGTAACATTCATATTAATATAAAATCGCAAACCTTGTCCAACACATCTATCCTGGCCTGAATACTGCAGCTCTGCTCATCTGTGTCGAGCTAAGTTGGAACATTTCTCCATATTAACAATTATAGCCTAAGTTTTACCTTTTTGATTTCAATTTACTACAGTTTAGTTTAGTAAATAAACGACAGAATGTAAAATTTGATAACACAGAAGTGAAACTGTTAGCATGATGATAAATTGTTACCAAATCCAGAGAAACTGTTAAATGATTTCTGTGTAGTGTTACAGGATAAAAAAATGTCCTCACCTTTTTTCTGTATTTTGTTTCTATTTGTAAAATTTTGGATGCTTTGAAACTTATGGTTGATGAAAAATAATTGGACAGTGCAAGTATTTATATAGCAGGGGAATAATTCTCTGATCAGCCCACATATAAATACTGCTGTGTTCTGCATTCACTTGCTCGGGTGGGGGTTGTGCATTGTACAAAGTGCAAGAGAACCTTTGTCACAAGCTACACACCAATCCTGGCATTTGCAGTGGGACGCCTCCTCCTGCAGTCACATTCAGGAAGTGGTAATGGTGCTGAAAAACCAACTGAGGTCGGAGGTTAGAAAATTATTCCACTGTCTGCTTGCTTTGCACAACTAAATGCTTTGCAGTAATTGTAGGGATTACACTTCATAGAAATCTCTTTGCAGTGTTTGATCTGAAATTAGTAACAAATAAAAATAAAAAATATGAGTAGACTGCTGAGCTCTCTAACGCAGGACAAAACTTTTTGGCATGTGACTGCTGCTTTTACACTGTGTCTTATCTTTGTCAGTACAGGCGTACTTGACACTGTGACCACAGAGCTTGGGTTTGGACACTATGCAGAGAAACCTATTTCATGGCTTCCACTGTTTCTGGCAATGCCTTTTAATTCTCTTGTTAATCTCGGCTACATTGTGTTGGGAATATACTGGCTTGGTCGAAAAAATGCATCAGTCGGAATCAAGGATCCAATTGGACTGTACCTGAATAACATCTTCTCTTGGATGGCAATTCTGTATGGCCCTGTCCAGTGGGTCAGGTTATGGACCCAGGCACATTGGGCCGCCGTTCTGGATCAGTGGTTTACATTGCCTATTTTTGCATGGGCATACATCTGGTGCAATTCGATCATGAAAAACTGGACCACTCAATATTTCCTTATTTTGGAAGTCATCTCGATAAGTAGTTACTTTCTGTGCCTACTACATCCACAAGGATTCGAAGTGGCTCTCTTAATTCATATTGTATGCACGGTTGTGGCTGGAGTGAAGTTACAGAACACATATGGAGATGCTTCCTCAAGGACCTACTTGTTTCTTGCCCTAACATCTTGCTTGGGATTCGTATGCTTGAAGCTGCTCGATCATTGGTTGGCCCAGAGTTTCATGTTTCAGACACTTACTGGACACTTTTGGTCGAAAGTGTGTGACATCTTACAATTTCATTATGCTTTCTGTTTCCTTACTCACCTTGACCACTACAGACGTTTTAGGTTGAAAAAATGAATAAGAGGCAACTTGTAATTAATCCTCTTTGTTCTTTACCCAGCCACCAACAAGACTAATTAAACGTGGTGTTTTGGTCTGTATTGTAAACCTTCAAAATAGCCATTCCTATGTAATGCGGTATGGTTGGCGCCATCACCGACATTTCTTCTCAATAAATGTGCTCAAATTAACCAGTACTGATCGCTCACCCTGTTTAGAGTGATAAGCTAACAATTTCTCATAAGAAAATACAGAATAAAGATACATTTAGTATGGTTCAGAATTTAGCAAACCGTTCTTTATTTTTTTTAATTGACCCTAGAGATATAGATGATAACATAGATAACATAGATGATAACATTGGCTGATGGCCTAATCTTCACTTGACAAGAGATACTGATATACATTCTTCAGAACATCTCTGTCTCTTCCTAGTGTCAAAGAGGTTTCTGTTGACCCATAGAGGATTGTGAAATCACTGTGTACTGTTTTTTTTTCTTTGTCTGTTTTGTGTTACTGCCAAACAACACCCCACTATGTGTTCAGCAACATCTCCTGAGTACAGTGATACCACCTATGCATAGGTTTGTTGGGTTTTTGGGGGCTTCAATGCCAAACTTCTGACGTGTTTTTTAAATTTGACATATCTTCTTTGCCTATGTTTTTTGGGGGCCTTTTTACATATCCCAATTTACTTTCTTGTCATGAAGTGTGCATATATTTGAAAAGTCGACACCCCCAAGGTATTGTATACAGAGTGTTTTGATGCCTTTGATGCAACCGTTTTAGCCCAAAAAATTGGAGAAAATGTGTGGTGGTAATTTAAAATTTTTCATTTTTACACACACATTTGTGTGTGATTTAGGGGAGCCTGTTGTTGGTTATTGCAAGAAAACACTCCAGGTTGTTTTCTGCAAAGCCTCGTGAGTACACTCATGCCCCCATGCATAGGTTGAACTTGATCATAAAAATAGCCTGGCGCAGTAAAAGTAAAAAAAAACAAAAAAACTCAGGAACAATAAACATAACAAACAAAATCAAAAACTGAATGGCAAATGTAAAAAAAAATAAAAAAACGGACCAGTCTGTGATATCGCTTAAAGCAGTCCCCAATGCAGAGTCGAGGCTGTCCAGGACAATCAGGACAGTAAAAGACGGTATCCCTTCTCTGCCCCCTTTTAAACAGACTCTGCATGTTTTTAAAAAAAAATAAAGTGGGTAGCCCCAACTCTGCTCTTTCCCATCACCGCCCTGGGAGCAGGTGCATCTTCCGGGTTTGCTTTTTTGAACAACAAAAAAGCGTTGTGGGTTGCAATCTGTATTAAGTAAATTGAAACCTTTTTGAACCAGGCTCTTGTCTTCCGTATAATTAGGTATCGCTGCAGCATCTGATTTGCCAGATCAACCCCACCCATATGCTGGTTATAGGCCTTGATGCACAGTGATCCAAAGTCCTCTCAGTGTGGATGGTGGTAAAAAGGTACACATCCTTCTTGTCTGTGTACAACTGCCAACAGCTCCTCTTGGCGCAGAGCTGAGGTCTCCCCCCTTCGTAGCTGGGTGCGTGCAAGTTGTCCTGGGAAACCTGCGTGGTTCTTTCTGATTGTACCGCAAGCTACTGTATCAAAACAATACAGTAGCTTGGACAAAGGGACACTTGTATAACAATTGTCTATATACAAGTGGTACCCTTTGTCCATCAGCGGGAATATCAGGTCCCAGACAATCTTGCCACTGATTCCTAAATTTTCTGGGCAACCTGGGGGGTCAAGGTGGCTATCCGTTCCCTCGTACACCTTCCAGGTGTATAAGCCTCTGCAAACCTGGCAGCGAAGTGGGTAATCAGGGGGCCGATTTTATACATCCTGTCAAACTGGGGGCTGTTGTTGCTGAAGTGCATTAAAATGTAGAATCATTTCATACCTCTTCCTCGACATACATTGGGAGTAAATGGGGGTAGAGCAGATGGGACTACTGCTCCAGTATGAGCGGATGGAGGGCTTCTTTATGATGCCCATCAGCATAGTCAATGCCCAGAATTTTTTTTAATTCTGGCACATCGATGGGAGCCCATTGCTGCTTTGCCAAAAAAGAGTCAGGCTTAGCAGCACGGAACTAATGGGCATATAAATTAGTTTGGGCGACAATGTTCCCCAATACATCATCGCCCAGAAATACCTCCATAAACTGTTGGGGGCTAAATCCTGCGACATCCACATTGATGCCAGGATTTGCAGTGAATGGTGGGATATCTTTATTCTTGAGATGAGGCGCTACCCACTCCTCAGCAGCACTGCCAGCTGGAGCAGCAGGTCTCCTTCTGACAGGGGGACTAGCAGCCACAGATACATCACTAGATACATCACTAGAAGCAGACACTGTATCTAGTGATGTATCTGAGCACCTGGCACTGTCAAAATCAGGGTCAGAGTTAGACATAGACGCGTCAGACTGTAATGCAAGGATGGCATACGCCTCCTCAGCACTATACGACCTCTGTGACATGATCACAATCACTTTATACAAAAAAAAAAAAATCACAAAAAAAAATGCACATACAGCAAAAAAAAAAAAAAAAAAATGCTGCTGTGCAAGAGCCAGTAATTTATAGTGATCACTGGCAAGATAGAGGTTAATGGCTCTGAAAATATTAATTTTACAAATCCCTAACTAAACACAGATCTCTCTCACTAAAACACAAGTGAAGAGAGGGATGGAGATCCACACTGATCAGAGTCAATATTTTCTAATATTGACCTGACCAGACAAACTGTAGGGGCATGATCTCTACACCAAAACAACTGAATTAAGCTAAAGTTGTTTTGGTGCTTAGAGTACCTATTTAACTTTTTTGTGAGAGATCCAAATTAGGTTTATTAAATAAGCTTGATGACCAATTTTCAGTTGCATAAAAAGCCCAGTGATGGGTTTTTCATATGTATTCTAATTTATACTAAAGTTCTGCAAAACACCTTCATTAGCCTTTTCTATCTATTTTAAATTGGTCCCCGCTTTCCAACACATTGGGGAAACAATGCGGTTACGAAGAGAGAAGAAGAAAAAATAAAAATAAACTTTAATGTGAGAAGTTGACCTCATGATCACAGCTTCCTTCTTGCAAATATTTGCGAACCAATAAAATCACATGATGACCTCATTGTTTTGCCAGTCCCAACAAATTTCAGCTTTATTTTAAAATATATATATTTGCAAACAGAGAAGCAATATTAAATCAGCATTCAATTTGTAAATAAAGTCTGTGGGATTTGACAGACAGGGTGGTTTTTCTGTGTTATTTGGCAAGATTAAGTGATCTGAAAAAATAAATTCTCCCTTACAGTTTCTGTGTGTGAAGCCAATACCTGCTTGGAAGATTATTCACTAAACAGTTTGTTTGAATAGACACCCAAAATACAAAACATGGGCTAGCCGCCAAATCTCCTAGTATAGAGTCCAAACTTGTACATCTGTAGTTGTTTGGCAGGGAGTTTTGGAAAGTATCATGCAACAGCAGAGGGAGGGTGAAGGACAGACACCGTAATCTGCATGCACACGGATTGTTTTTATACTGGCTTGGGTTCAGGTACTCTTTGTGGTTGGAACATGGAAGGCTGGTGTACGTGTATTGTGTATCCTTAACCACAAGTGGTACATTGTTTCTTCTTTAGATTTTGAGTCATATTATGGGAAGGAGCTTTGTGATTACATAGTTTTAAAACTTACCATAAAATGACATACGTTTACCTTACAGGCTTCTTTTTTTTTAAGGCATTAGTTTTTTGTCTTGCATATTAAATCATATAACCATATTTAAAATGTTGGTTTTACGTGAGCAAAAAAACAACAACAAACCTGTGGGCACATGGTCCAGCCATTCTCCGCAGATATTGCTGAAGTGCTGGGAATCACTCCCCAAAATAGTTGATAGATTTGTGATTAAGGAAAAAAATGTGAGAAGATTAAATAAAACCACATATACAGTTATATTTTTAGGTTTTATTTTTTGTTCGTTTTTTTAAGAGAAAACCAGTTGTAGTGAATACATACAACACACATTTCATATGCAGTTAAACACACAAATAACTTGCACTGCTTACGGTCATTTACCCTTCACTGTTTCTACATCTCCATAAAACATCTTTGTTTTACTTTGCGTACAATTCTTTGGATTTGTAGTTTTTCTTTAGACATTTGTTCAGCTAATTTGCCGATTTACAATCCGTTCAAAGAGGAGCAATACATTTATTTACTAAACCAGGGGTAGTCAACTTTGTCCCTACCGCCCACTAGTGGGCAGTTTGGGATTTCAGGTGGGCAGTGATGGGTTCTACAGAAAACGCTCGATGGCTGTGGACCAAGGCCAGCAGGGGAGATCTGTTCATCTCCCCTGCTGGCCCATGCAGAGCCAACCTTGCTCTAAGCCCTTTTTGGGCTGGTGAGGAGATCAAAGTTCCATTAATAATGCTTTCCTATGGACTAGCTGAATGCGCGCGCGGCTCTTGATGCGCATGCGCATTCAGCCGGTGACGGAAGAAGAGGGAGGAGGAGAGCTCCCTGCCCGGCGCTGGAGAAAGAGGTACGTTTAACCCCTTCCTCCCCCTAGAGCCCGGCGGGAGTGGGACACTGAGGGTGGGGGCACCCTCAGGGCACTATAGTGGTCCTTTAAAAGGTTGACTACCCCTGCAATAAACAGTGGCAGGGCCTGAGATATAATCCATATCAACCAATTTGGACTAAATTTTAAAACTAGCTCATTAGGCATTAGGATTGCAATCTGAGTGGTTATTGACAAACCTTCGGTTAACTCACCACATCTGTTAAAAAGGATCTTACAGACCAGCAGTGAAGGGTCAACTTTAACCCCAGATATTTGTGAACTACATTTCCCAGAATGCTTAGACACCTAAAAGCCTTTGCCTTAGCACAAAGTAGACAAACAATCCCCATGACTGGTGCCTTAATCACGTTAATATCAATTAACGAGAAGACTGTGAAATATTGAGGAATTTACATAACCATCTCCCACATTTGTCAATAGGGACCCTGCACATCTACCACTGTAGATTTGGGTGCCAGGCGAGTCAAGGCATTTATAGATAAATAATGAAGGGGCTATGAGCTGCAGTGCTGATGGTGTGTAGAGTGTCCCTTTAAGAGATAAGCTAATGACTGGCCTCTACTTGAAGCAATCCATGTATGTAAACAAAGCTCTTATGCAACCTGGACAACCCTTATCGTCAGTACTTAAGCTTGAACAATTGTTTAAAATCTTCTCCCTTTCTAGAGACGCAAATGTCTGTACTGAATGCTAACTTAATGAGAGAACTTTGGCAATTGGCCTGGCTGGCTCTTTTACAAAAGTTACAATGAAAACAGGACATTGAGTTTATTATTTCCAAACAGTCTTGAGGATTATCTTTCAAACTCTGCGCACCACTAATCCTGAGCGGGTCAGGTCCATATCCGCTGTTCTTGTGCATCCATCTCGTCTTGTTACAAATACTTGTCTGTTAGTCCACCTATTGTACAGCGCTGTGAAATTTGTTGGCGCTTTACAAGTTTAGCTTTATACTTTATCCAAATATGTAGGCAATATTATTATTATTTATACTCATAATATGCTTTGTATTGACTTAACCCCTTCCCAACCGCAGACGGAAATTTTCCGTCAACCTTGTTCTTCAGTTAAGGACCGTTGACGGAAAATTTCCGTCATTTACTAAAGTTAACCCCAGATCGCCGTGATCGCGGAGTTAACGGTGCTCCGGTCTGCCTCTGTATTAGAGGCAGACCGGGAGCAGCGGATCGGGCTGCCTCAGCACTGGTGCTTGCTCTGACAGGCTGTCAGAGCGAGCACATGTGCTCAGTGTACTTACTTTCCACCTCCCTGCACTTTCGGGTTCTGTGTGAAGTGCAGGGAGACGGATCAGAGCTGATCCTTTTCTCCCGGTGTAAAAAAAAAATAGAAATAAAGTTAAATCCCACCCCCCCCTTCCCCCTGCTTTAATAAAATTAACCCCTTCCCTGCCAATTGATCACTGACTACAGTGATCAATTAGCAGTGTATACATTTTAATGTCATCTGATTTTTTTTTTTAACCTGAGGGTTAATTATTATTTTTTTTAACCCTTAGGGGTTAAATTTATTTTATTAATTAATTTAAATATGTAAACATTATCTATTTAGCTAGCTGGGATGGGTGGACGTTAGTGTGGAATTGGGTGTTAGGCTAACTAGGGGTTAACGTTAAAGTTTTAAAATAAGCTTTAAAAAGGTAAAAAAAAGTTTTTAAAAAAAATGTTTTAGTAACGTTCAAGTAAAAAAAAAAAAAAAAAAATACCACCCCCTTTTACCCAGTCTAAATAAAAATGAACCCCTTCCCTGCCAGCTTATCACTGCCTACAGTGATCGAAATACAGATCACAGTATTATACTGTAATCTAATTTATTTTAACCCCTGAGGATTAACGTTTATTTTTTAACCCTCAGGGGTTCAATTTATTTAATTAATTTAAATATTTTATAATTATATATATTTTGCTAGCTGGAGTATGTGGGAGACACAAAATAGTGCCTAGGTCATACACTGGGCATATTGTTTTACTCAGAAGACTTAGCTGAGCATAATTTGGGGGTTTGAACTTAGTGGCACATATGAAATATACAAAACGCCCAGCAAAAATGCAATCCGTATGTAAAAACGCCCAAAATAATTTAATAATTATAATTTAATAATTTACCACATACTTTGGCATATATTGGTGAAAAATGGGGACATGTTAAGGCACAATATGCACCTTATGAGATACCCTGGAGTGTCTACTTTTACAAATGGTAGGCCTTTGTGGGTTTTTTTTTTTTTTTTTGAACAGTCAAACTGTTGTAATACCCCAAATTGAAGCATAGGCCCATTAAATCCATCTCTCAAAATTCTACTGTAAATGTTGAAACGGACAGGTCTCCTATATGGCACTGTAGCTTCACGAAATAGTGCCAAAGACATACAATGGGGGTATCGTTGTACTCAGCAGAAGTAACTGAACACAAAATAAAACTTTGTACAGGAATAGCACACACCAACTTTACAAAATATACATGAGAATTTCTTTGTTATAAGTTTGTGTGCCAAAAACCCCCAAAAACACAGTTTTACTCCAATATTTAGCAGAGGTTGGCGGTGAAATGGCTACGTAGAAAGTGTCAAAACAACCTTAGGACAATAGCCTGTGATGTCTACTTTATATAAATATATACTTTTGTGTGGCAGTTTTGTTTTCTTTTATGGCTATTAAGCTTACAAGACAAACATACCAAATTCTAAAAACGCTCCACATTAAAAGTTTATTTTACTCCTTGTGCTTTGTGACCTGTAACTACCAAAAAAAACTAAATATCCCAGACACATTATATATTCTGTAAATCAGAACTAAATGAATTTATTTTGAATTACTTTCTTTAACCTGCACTAATTAGGCACACATTTTTATTGAAAAAACTGTACAAAAAACACATTTTATTTTTTTTTGCATTTTTTCTGTATTCTATTAATAATAAATAAGCATTTATATATATCATCAAATTAAAACCCTTTCTGTCCTTTAAAAACAGTATATAATATGTGTCGGTGCAATAAATGAGAGAGATGCAAATTGCAGTTGAACACATACAGCAAGAAAAATGTTAATTTCTCTACCATAAGCAGTCTCCAACAGCATTTCAGAGAATTTGGCAGTACATCCAGCCGGCCTCACAACCGCCTACCAAGTGTAACCACACCAGTCCAGGACCTCCACATCCAGCATCCTCACCTCCAAGATCGTCTAGGACCAGCCACCAGCCAGCTGCTGCACCAATCAGTTTGCATAACCAAAGAATTTCTGAACAAACTGTCGGAAACCATCTCCGGCAAGCTCATCTACATGCTCGTCATCCTCATCGGGGTCTCTACCTGACTGCGGTTTGTCGTCGTAGCCGACTTAGGTGGGCAAATGCTCACATTTGATGCGATCTGGTACTTTGGAGAGGTGTTCTCTTCATGGATGAATCCCAGTTTTCAATGTACAGTGCAGATGTCAGACAGGGTGTATGGCATCGTGTGGTTGAGCGGTTTGCTAATGTCAACATTGTGGACCGCGTGGCCAACGGTGGCAGTGGGGCTATGGTATGGGCAGGCGTATGTTTTGGACAACAAACACAGGTGCATATTAAATGCACAGAGATACTGTGATGAGATCCTGAGGCCCATTGTTGTTCCATTCATCCACGACTATCACCTCATGTGGCAGCATGATAATGCACGGCCGTATGTTACAAGGATCTGTACACAATTCCTGGAAGCTGAAAACATCCCAGTTCTTGCATGCCCAGCATACTCACCAGACATGTCACCCATTTAGCATGTTTGGGATGCGCTGGATCGGCGTATATGACAGTGTGTTCCAGATCCTGCCAATATCCAGCAACTTCGCACAGCCATTGAAGAGGAGTGGACCAACATTCCACAGGCCACAATCAACAACCTGATCAACTTTATGCGAAGGAGATGTTGCACTGCGTGAGGCAAATGGTGGTCAGACCAGATACTGACTGGTTTTCGGACCCCCTCAATACAGTAAAACTGCACACTTTAGAGTGGCCTTTTATTATGGCCAGTCTAAGGCACACCTGTGCAATAATCATGCTGGGTGTTAGGCTATACCACACCTGTGAGGTGGATGGATTATCTCAGCAAAGGAGAAGTGCTCACTAACACAGAATTAGACAGATTTGTGAACAATATTTGAGAGAAAAGGGCCTTTTGTGTACATAGAAAAAGTCTTAGATCTTTTTAGTTCAGCTCATGAAAAATGGGGGCCAAAAACAAAAGTGTTGCGTTTATAATTATGTTCAGTGGGCAGCAGATGGCGCCCACAAGACCTCGAGACTCTAGCTACTCAGACGAGTCCCTGGAGGAAGACCGCTTTATACCAGCAAGAACCCTGAGCAAGGTGTATGGGAGCGAAGAGTCTGACTCCGACACCACACCCTCTACCAAAGGGGATATCAAAAAACTACTGATAGACCTACGAGAGGTATGGAAGGCCGACCTGGTTGGTGTGCGCACAGAGGTTGACGGCCTCTCCACACGGGTTGCTGCGGTTGAAACTAGAGACTCACGCAGGGAGCTGGAGCTCAGGGAGACTTGGACTTCGCCAATGAAGTAGCAAAGGCGCTGGGAGTACAAACCACAGCAAGTGATGTGCCCCTCAAGACCGCGTTGCGAATACGAAAGGCCCCGACGGCCCCTGCGGATGCCCCCAGGGACGTCATAGCTGTCACCCGGGACGTTTCAATTAAAGCTGCAATCCTGGCCCGATCGAGGAACAACCCTGACATCAGGGTAAACGGCTGCTCAATACGGGTGTACGATGACTTACCCTTCAATGTCCTACTGGAGAGGCGGAGGTTTATGCCCGTGACGAGGGAACTCAGAGACAACGGGATCCGATACAGATGGGGAGCACTGGGTACCTTTGTAGTACAGCAGGGAGACACGATCCTGACCCTATCTGCGCAAGAAGACCCAACCGGTTTCCTGATGGCGCTTAACCTGCCGCGGAAGGCAAATCCTGTGACAAATGCAGAAACCACACTGACGACTGAAGAGACCAGCACGGCACGGAGACGGAATTCAGAGGCGGGAACTAAGCATAGAGAGCCAAGAAGGCTGAACCCACCATAGACCAGCTCGAGAGACGGAGGGTAGGTGACATCACTACCCCAGGGACTTACCAAGAACTGTAACACACCCCTGACAGATGCAGATGAAGAGATCCCAAGCAGTTAATGCGGTACACTTTCATCGAAAACTTTACCCTCCTGGACTTAATTCTATTATACTGAGGACTTACCCTCCAGGATTTCCACCAGGTGCCACCCACTGTTTCACATCACAATGGCCTGGGGGAGTGGTAGCACTGTGTTTTAGGCTCTACGGTTTTTGCCGGGGATTGTATAGTGTAACATAAGAAGGGGTGGACGGACCCCCGCAGGGAGTGAGGTGCTAGTATGCCCATAGAAGTGAAGCACCATCTCACACATAACAATCACACTAGCACTGCCCAGTGAGACCACAACCCCTCAACAGCCCATGGAACTAGCTCGAGCAAATGACATCTACCTCCGCTCCCGAAGGCGCACTTCACGACACCTCCCTCCTTCCACCGACCTAGGTTAGACTGACGACCGGAGAAAATACACAACCCTAGCACACACAATACGAATGCACTAGCACTCGAGGTCCACAATCTGACAGGGGCCCCCCAGAGCCAAACTGGACACATCGACAATCACTCACTTATAAATCTGGGATATGGGCCATCTCCTCGGACCGACGAATTGACAGGCCACGAACAGGCATATTAGGGACATAGATACTCACACATCTAAACAAACGCACTACATGCGGGTTAACAGGAACAGTAGTTTTGACATTTACATTAAGCCACACTGACACATCTTCTCCCTCGTCACTGGGGCGAGTCCTTCCACTAGCCACCTCGGAGCCTAGTCCATGATGCACCACAACGATAGTCCACGCACCCACCGATACGAACGGAGCAGTAACATACCTAACACACCTGACCACTATAGCAGGGACCCCAGGTTCAGCTTGTCTTGACGCCGTGTCTTCCCTCCTGCCACCATAGACCAAAACTGGTTACGTTGCTCTCCATGCCGTGCTTATAAAAAAGTATAGTATGCCATGACTAACCACATTAGATAGCACCGTAATTGCAGTCACAGAGTGACCTACACATTCACAACCTTGTATATAGTCGATATTTGGTTGAGCTTTATGTGTGTTGAGGAGATAGCAGAATGTAAGGTGCTTTGCCTGGTGGCACCTTGTTTTAATGAGAATCTTAGTTACGCTGGAATCCTTAATAGAATTACATGTTTAGCGGTAGTCAGCACTGTATACTCTATCGTAACCTGAAATGCAAACCTGCTGTCTCACCTACTGCATGATATGACTACTTAGACCAGCAGTTCCTATATAAAATGTAAACCTCTCACTTATGCATAGTCAAGCATAACCAGGTTAAAGTGATGACACTCTACGTAAATATTAACCTTAAGCCACTGTTATTAATCGACAAAGTAATTTAATGAGACAGACGTTGTTACTTAGCTTCAACTTTGCTACATATCTATTATTCATAAAATTGTGCTGTCAATCTGTATGCCATATTGAATTGTTATACCGTTTGTTATCGCTGAGCTTGTCGATGTCGTTGTGGCATTGTAGGCTTATTTGTTATTCTTTGCACAGCAAAAATAAAGAGTATATATATATATATATATATAGAATTATGTTCAGTGTATTATCCTGTGACTCAGCTATTGTACTTTGCTTCTCTGATTTCTGGTTTCTTTGATGCAGTTTGTCCCTGGCTTTTCTCAGTCTATCTGTACGTATAGCCCAGCCACTCTAAGGACCGGTATACATTCTAATCTATTATCATTTACATTCTGCGTGTTGGGTCACTGAGTAATTGTGACAAGATGTCTCTATATACCCAAGCTTTGCTGGTCCAGGACCATACTTATTGGATCATTCAGAGGATGCTCTTAGGGAGCGGGGGAAGACCCCCTCTTACTTATAAGCCTTTGGGAGCACTATACTTGTGAACTATCTTTTTATATCAGACCACTACTTTGGGTAAACATGAAATTTTAAAAAAACCAAAAAAAAACCTCCTGCCCTCTCCAACACTTGTAGTGATCCGAGACTGAAGAGTCTCAGAGCCTGAACTTCAGCCCCTCCTCAGCAACACCACTGATTCTAAACAATTCATGGTGCCCCTGTAAAAAAAAAAAAATGGCCAGCACTATTAAATGTCTAAACTTGACACCTTGTTCATGCAATAATGCTCTACCAGCCTTCGTCTCTTAAACTGTACAGTAAGTCCATGTCTTATGAGTGTCCCTTTTTGAAGCAGACTAGACAACATTTATGGTTTATATAAAAGATACAGAAAGAATTACAAATATGGTTACAATAATGCAGGCGATCTGCATATTTTAAAATAATTACATGGTAATTATACTTTTTTTTTTTTTTTTTTAAATCACTCTTTTAAGCTTCGTTATACAAATTAGTGACCATGCTAGAGTCCTTTAATAAGTACAACTATCGAAAAAGAATCCAGAAAAGAAAAAGGAAGAGTATTAAAGCTAAACTGTTATCCGTCACTGACATAGGACACCATGATCCTCTCCACACACTGAGCAGGAAAGAATCTTACATTCTCCAGTTGGGTCAATATATTCAAATATTACAAAACATATATCACTTACAAATCAAATATATTTTCACAATTCAGTTTCACTTCCTCTAGAAAACAGACTTGCTCATAACAAGGGATGGACATTTAATGCACACTAATGAACGCAAGTGATAATGAGAAAGAAATAATAATACACAAAGTAATGCAAAGAAGTTTATAAAACAAAGTCAGAATGCGGAGATGCTCCATCATAACGTACACTTTTATCTGCCATTGCGTCACATTTCCCTCGGATGTTGTTTAAAAAAAACAAACTAGGAAAAAAATAAGTGTGTGTGTGTGTGTGTGTATATATATATATATAAATTATTTTTAGAATTATATTTAGAATATCGAGCCCCCTAAAAGAAAAAGTTAGAAAAATGTACCTTTAATGTATCACCAGGACAGACTCCTCATTACAGTCGGATCCTCCCTCAATGAAGTATACAGTCCTGGTGGCATTTGTCCAGTCTGATGTGTCTCATAAATAAGCACTGAGAAAACAGCAGATGCGTTGCAATTGCAACAATCTGCCACATATGATTCAATAACTGAATCTATGTTCGTCTGAAGCCCGAGTGACTGTGTCAAGTGAACAGGTCTTGATGGATAACAAATCCTAAAGTTATAAACATATCCTTCTCATCGATATTAATTATATATGTAATTATGATAGGAGCTGCTACTGCTGTAAGAGAGTGCTTCCAGTTCTTTCCAACTTGCGCTCCTTCAGTACACTATTGGTCCTGCTACAAAAAACGAGCAGAATGATCCTCTCCCATAACATGCCAGCACATCTGCGTCTTTAGTGCTTTCTTATAGGGTTTTGGGTGACACTGGATGTCCTCATGCATAGCAGGAGGACGTCCAGTGTCAGTTAGATCAGTGTTTCCCAACCCAGTCCTCAAGGCACACCTACCAGTCCAGGATTTAGGGATTACCCAGTTGTGTCTAAGGTGTTTTTTTTCTTCTTTGTAAAAACACCTTAGACACAACTGGGTAATCCCTAAATCCTGGACTGGTAGGTGTGCCTTGAGGACTGGGTTGGGAAACACTGAGTTAGATTACCAAAAATTGGCTAATGACCCGGAAGTCCCTCCAGTGGCTGTCTGGTAGACAGTCACTAGAGGTGGAGTTAACCCTGGCAGGTAATTATTGCAGTTCATTACAAACTGCAATAATTACCACTGCAGGGTTACGGGACCTGGGACACTGCACCCAGATCACGTCAAGGAGCTGAGTTGGTCTGGGTTCCTATAGTGTCCCTTTAAGAATCTATACAAATGCTAGCTATACTTTCATTAAACTGAGGTTGGGTGTACAAAGGTACACTTAAATTTCGAAACTGTTTTTTATAATGTTCTTGTCATCTAAAATCACAGCCTAAATTGTAGCAAAATATATAGTGTGTGTGTGTATATATATATATATATATATATATATATATATATATATATATATATATATTTCATAAAAGCGTTGATTCTTCAATTTTATATTTTAAAAAAAACTTTCCCCCCCACTTTCTGAGCTACAAAAAAAAGTAAATACATTTCTCAGATGACTTCCGTAAATGGTGCATAAGAGAGACACAGGGGTGGGAATCCGGTTTGCTGCGGCTGGGCAGGGGAGTGTCTCTCCCATAGACTTCTTAGAGGACAGAGAGCTAAAGCGTGGAACCTACTCTCCTCTCCTGTCATTTTCTTCCTGTTCCCTCTCTTCATTCTTCCAGTCCTTTTACTTTGCGGAATCTGTACTACCTTTACTCATTCCCGAATTCAGAGTGTGGCCTACTGTGCGAATGGACCATGTGGCTGTCCTCTAATGGACAGATGTTATGGCTCTAAGCACGTGTTCAATGCTGTTTGGGGAGCTAGAGATTCTTGGTTCTTAATTTGTTACTTTTTTATTTTTCAGATTTATTCATCTAACACAGATATGCGACTGTTTGAGGATTAAGGGATGTTGTGTTTGTCTTGTTATAACAAGTCCCACTGTTTCTAAGTTTGCAATACAGAGGTGCTGCGTGCCCATTTGTGGTATCACTGATTTGGAACCTACCAATGTCTTATTGAAAAACGTATTAAAAAAATATAAAATTAATCAATCAAACCTTGTCTAACAGTATTGCTGTAAAGCATGAAATAAACTGTGGGTAATCAGCGATATTTCTTTTTTCCGATATACTAGCCCTCCTCGCTGAAAGAAGTTTATAAAAACATGTTCTAAACAAAGCCAGAATTTACTGTTATAATAATACCGACCTACATACAGTAGCACTCTTTACAAACGTCAGTGTACTGTTCTGTATACTATATATCATTTATACTCCTGATACAATTTAAACAATCCTGTGTTTATGTCCACATGCAGAGTATCCGACCCTGGGTCTGCAACCAAAACTAGTTTATGTAACATTTCTATGTAGAAATCAAAATATACCAAAACTATGGTTTATTTACAAAATACTGAATTTAGGCGATACTGAAGACATGGAAAAATTTTCTAATTCTGCTACAGTGAGTTTTAAGGAAAACATGCAGTCAAGATAATGTCCTCAGTCTCAAAGTTTAGGTAACAGTAATGGGAGTTACAGTTAGCGGCCTCCTTAGTGATCACAAGGTTTTAGTGAGACATGGCTATAACTTTGCATTTTAATGACAAGAGTTTTTGTGCACTACCATAATCGTGCTCAGTTGGTGTTGTGCCCTTATAGGTGCCGACACGAATACATCTAAATTGATGCTTGACATTTGGACTGTTAAAAACAAGTCATACCACATTTAAAGGGACACTGCAGTCACCGAAACAACTTTAGCTTAATGAATCAGTTTTGGTGTATAGATCATGCCCCTGCAGTCTCACTGCTCAATGCTCTGCCATTTAGGAGTTAAATCACTTTGTTTATGCAGCTCTGGTCATACCTCCCTGGATGTGACTTGCACATCCTTCCTAAACACTTCCGATAACAAGTCATCTACTATTTACACTTCCTTTTTTGCAAATTATGATCTATACACAAAAACAGCTTCATTAAGCAAAAGTTGTTTAGGTGACTACAGTGTTCATTAAATTAACTGGTTTCCAGTTAAAGAGCACTATTTTCCAA